TAGTTGCTATGATAGAAAGAAAGTGCCACGCAAAAAAAATGGATGCCTAATAAGAAATAAGGTGATGCTTTGAGAAAGTTCGAGAAGCTGTGCAACGCACAACATTAAGGTTAAGATTCTGAAATGTCAGAGCACTAAAAACAGCAAACCATTGCACCGAACTTTCGTCAAGGGAACACATAGTAATATGCCCAGCATCGGCCACATACGAACAAGATATAGACATATTTGTGAACAACAACAGCATTCCCCACCTAAAGCGGTATTACTGCTGTCAGCCAATCTACCAGGAAATTAGGGCAAACGGGAAGGACAAAGAGAGAACAAACTTGCAGGCAACGAAAGACAATTCATTCATTAAATCAATTTAATATAGTCAAAGGATTAAAGTTAACTATAGATCACGGATCTGTCATTTAAGCAGACACATGGTGGAACACGAGAATGTTGAAATCACATATTGGTATATATGGAATCACATATTACAGGACACCTAAAACTATATGCCAAATATTTTAGGGGGAATGACTGAGTCCGCTGGTGGCTAGAGTTGTAACGATTCATTCCCCTTTAAAGATATTAGTATATTCAACATACTTCAAGACATAGATTTAAATTTTTAGAAGTTTAAATACTCATTGGCGGCTGATTCATGTCAATGTATGACAAAAACCACTACCATATAAAAATAAATAAATAGATAAACTGAACTTTCTAAATAAATAAATAAATAAATAAATAAATACTCATCGGCTATGTTGGCTTATCTGAGCAGTACAACCAATATAGGAAACGTAAGAAGTCCAATGTAATCCAGATTTTCAACCTAAATAAACCCGAGACTTAAATACGAATATATTATACCACCATTATTTTCTACACCTTTATAAGATAATCTGAAGATACACATAGAGTTGGTGTTAGACCAAAAGGAGAAAAACAATGTCATTTTTCTGAGTCGCTTCCATGAAAAAAAAAATAACATGACTAAACATTTTGAAGACCATTATGTCCATTATTTAAATTGTTTAAAAGTATTCAGAATACTCTGTTATCAGTTTCATTCCTTCCTGGTTGCTGTTCCAAGTAATCAAGACCATTTACTCAATCTACACTTAAATCATTTTTTTGCCTTGTCACAAATTTAGCAACAACATTTTCCTTATATAAATACCACATGGAAGCATAAACAGTAGAGTATTTTCCCCAGAAATTCTCCATTTTTTAATTTTACATTTATGGAACTGATTATTACCTTCCTTAAGAGAAGTGACACCTTCAAATTTTGAGAGGCCTAACTTGTCTGTTCTCCCCAGAGTGAGAGAAAGTCTACTGACTTGTTTTGGAGAAAATACATTTAAACAGGGAAAACAATAGATCACAGCAGCGGGCCTTGCTTGACTTCCCTGGGGGTACAGTGCATAAGAACCTGCCTGCCAGTGGAGGGGAAACAGGTCCAGTGCCTGGTCTGGGAAGATTCCACATGCCGCAGAGCAACTGAGCCCTCCAGCCACCCCTACCGAGCCCGTGACCGGCCGCTACTGAAGCCCATGCACCTAGACTGTGCTCTGAAACAGGAGAAGCCTGCACACTCCAACTAGAGAGAACCCACACAGAGCAACGAGTACAGGGCAGCCAAAAATAAATAAAATAAATACATTTTTTACAAGTTAGTAAGCCTAAACAAAAAATTAGTGAACCTCACTGAAGGTGAAAGCAGAGTCAACGATGTATATTAACAACACTTGCCAGTGTGGGAAACAAAATGAAATATACTTAAGCGATACTGGAGGAATCTCACCGAGGAAAATAGAAATTCTATACTACACTTATGAGTCCCCAGTGTATAAAACTGTGCTTGACGTCATTGCTAGTCCTTGCTTTTTCTTGAGGGCTGAACTTGCTTACAGTTCTGGAAGGACTCAGTCTTGCTTTGCAGGGTTGTCAGAAGCGTTCACCTTGCTGACTTCATTGCTTCCTTGCAAAGATATCGATGTCTTTCCCTCTGCATCCTGTAGTCTGCTTTCAGCAATCCTTGCCTCACTCGTTGAATGTTTTCAGCTATTTAGAAACTTTCACCTACCAGGGAAAGAAACACTCTGCTCCACGCAAAAAATCCAGTGTCCTTCCTGTGTTAATCTCGTCTATTAATCTTGAGTTTCTCATGAGGGAGCGATGCATAGTAAGATCATCCTTCTGTAGATAGGACACGTGTGCAGTGCTTGACGAGTACGACCGGGCCCGTGGATTTTACCGAACAGAGGAAAGAGGAGAAGCGGGTGACTTCTCACCGCTGCCGTGCCACATCCCAGGGAATACCAGAAGCATCAAGACAAGCAGCAGTGAAAAAAGCCTCGTGGGCCAGAGTAACTGTCACCTTCTGCCTCACAGGGAACGGACCCCTGTCAGCCACCACTCAATGTGGATTATCCCCAGAAGTTCACTTCCTAAAACGAGACCAGATTCCCACACGGATAGATAGCAATTGCCTCAGTTGCATCCGACTCTGTGCAACCCTGTGGACGGTATCCTGCCAGGCTCCTCTGTCGGATGGGATTCTCCAGGCGAGAACCCTGGAGTGGGTTGCCGTGCCCTACTCCAGGGGATCTTCCTGACTCACGGATCGAACTTACCTCTTCTGCAATGGCAGGCAGGCTCTTTACCGCTAGCGCCACTTTATCAGTGATGAACAAATCAGAGAGAGAATATCGGTTCAGTTCAGTTCAGTTCAGTCGCTCAGTCGTGCCCGACTCTTTGAGACTCTATGAATCACAGCACGCCAGGCCTCCCCTCCCTGTCCATCACCAGCTCCTGGAGTTTACCCAAACTCATGCCCAACGAGTCGGTGATGCCATCCAGCCATCTCATCCTCTGTCGTCCCCTCCTGCCCCCAATCCCCCCAGCATCAGGGACTTTTCCAATAAGTCAACTCTCCTCATGAGGTGGCCAAAGTACTGGAGTTTCATCTTCAGCATCAGTCCTTCCAATGAACACCCAGGACTGATCTCCTTCAGGATGGACTGGTTGGATCTCCTTGCAGTCCAGGGGACTCTCAAGACTCTTCTCCAACACCACAGTTCAAAAGCATCAATTTTTCGGCGGCTCAGCTTTCTTCACAGTCCAACTCTCACATCCATACATGACCAATGGAAAAACCATAGCCTTGACCAGACGGCCCTTTGTTGGCAAATTAATGTCTCTGCTTTTTAATATGCTATCTAGGTTGGTCATAACTTTCCTTCCAAGGAGTAAGCGTCTTTTAATTTCATGGCTGCAGTCACCATCTGCAGTGATTTTGGAGCCCCCCAAAATAAAGTCTGACACTGCTTCCACTGTCTCCCCATCTATTTCCCATGAGGTGATGGGACCAGATGCCATGATCTTAGTTTTCTGAATGTTAAGCTTTAAGCCAACTTTTTCACTCTCCTCTTTCACTTTGATCAAGAGGCTTTTTAGTTCCTCTTCACTTTCTGCCATAAGGGTGGTGTCATCTGCATATCTGAGGTGATTGATACTTCTCCCGGCAATCTTGATTCCAGCTTGTGCTTCTTCCAGCCCAGCGTTTCTCACGATGTACTCTGTATATGAGTTAACATACTTGTCCCCAAACCACACGGTACAGAAATGTCAAAACGCACAGTCTCTGCACATAAGACTGAATAGAAGAACAGAGCAAACAGGAGCCAATAGCTCTAAGGGTCCAGGTCTGAAGCAGGAGGCTGTGAGGGGCAGGATTCCGGGGGCTCCCACGACATGTCTCGGATGGGCTAATTTTTATCAGTTCAGTTCAGTCGCTCAGTCGTGTCCAACTCTTCCAAAAAATAATCAAACCAAAAAACTGTCAAGGAATAAAGTAAAGGGGGTGTTCCATGGTAACCCCCCATGGAACAGGGGGGTTTTATAGGAGGAGGGACAGGCATCAGATTTTTTTCCTTCAAGTTAAAAGTGTGACCAAAGTTTGTAAATAAAAGAAGAAAGGAGGGAAGGAAAAAGCCTCTGGGATCAGTGAGATTTTTCTCTCTGGATAAGTTGCTCGGCAGAAAGAGGTCACCCTGGCCGTCTTCTCTGGGCCCGGTTGACCAGGTCACCAGACAAAACAATGGACAGTTACTGGAGGGCTTTAAAAATGTTCAGTGACTAACTCTCCACCAGAAGCGATAGAGTATCTCTGTGTAACGCCTCAGCGTCGCCCTATTGTCTTTCCCCGTGGTTGGGTCGGGAGGCCACGGCTCCCTCTGTTAGTTAAGAGGATCACAGGGAGATGTATACAAAGATTGTTGTGCTGCCAAAGTAATTGAAGAAAGGGACACTGAACGACCGGAAAATAATTTGAAATACGATTCAGTCCCACTTCTGTGGAAGGCAAACTTGCAGGATTTACCAACTTAAGAAGCATATACATACTAAAGGTAGCAATTGCACTTCCAGGCTTCTACACTGTGGAAATAAATGCCTGCACAAATGGTCAGAAGTGTGAGTACAATAAGGATGGTTGCCGCATATCTGTTATCATCACACCATGAAACCAAATAATACACGAACCATGTAGGAAACGCCTTTCTGAAAAAACAATGCAGAGGCTGCTGCTGCTGGTGGGTTCACTGATAACACTACTGACAGAACAATTGCTAAGTGCTGGCCTCCTTTCACAGCTGAAAACCCTGGGGCACAGAAGACGTGGGGCACTTAGACCTGTCTAAGTCTAGGTACTTGGCAGAAAAAAAGGCTTGACCCCACCCGAAACTCGCTTCCTTGATCTCCCTCCGGAGGTCCTGCGTCAGGCAAGTATGAGTGAATAGGAATACACTTGCACTTGCAGAGTATAGGGCTGGAAAGGTGAGGTGGCTAGGACCCCCGTGTGCAAGAGAGCAGATTTTTGTGTGGAACCGCCTGAATGGTCGTCAGCACGGAACACCTTGAATGGGTTCGAAAACCTCAGCCGCCCGTCCCTGGGTGGGCTCGAACCACCAACCTTCCGGTTAACAGCCGAACGCGCTAACCCATTGCGCCACAGAGACAGCGCCACAGCGCGTCCCTCCACTCTTTCGGCTGGAGACAAAGAGTGCCTCCTGCTCCGCCGAGAAACGGTGCCAGTTCCACAGCCTCGGGAAAACGCAAAGATGAGAACGGTGAATCACACTGGACCTGAGACTGGGTCAAGGCCAGGAGAAGACTACACAAAACACCGTTATCCTAGGGCAGACAAATTCCGGAAAGCTCTTGAGAATACTCCCCCTCCCTCTGATGCATTTCCCACCCGGTCCACTCATCCTCCCACCACAGGAAAGAAGGCTTCCCCTTTGTGTTCTGGGCGCAGAGAGCCAGGCGAGAGCCAAGGGGGCAGCTGCACTTCCCCGTGGGCCTTCCCGAGGTAGGTGGTTCTAGCGCTCAGGCTGACCCAAGACCCCACTGTCCACCAAGACGACCCGGAGGAGTCCGGATAGCAGAGGGTCCTGGGGGTGGGGGATTCCTACAAGCGCAGAGCGTGCCTGGCCTGCACGTCCTGAGAACCGAACCGGACTCCCCCTGAAGCTTCTCTGCATTCCTAAAGAGAATGGACTTCAGGTTTCCATGAGGAGAGTGAGAAAGCAAACGTGGGAAAACGTGAACTGTGCAGTTGAGTACAGAATACACGATGTTACTATTCCTGTAACTTGGAGTTTGTTTTGGAGGGTTTGGGGTTTGGTTTGGAATGAATCTTTGGAACTCGAGTCCCTGATTCTCTTTGGATGAAAACGCTGTAAGGAAGACTCTGGGTTTCTATCAAGCAGAGAGAAAAGAGTGGAGAGGAGAGCTGGGCAGCCCAGGCTGTTGACTGCACACGGGGAGTCTCCTCCAGCCTGCCTGATGTCAAGGGCCCTGAGGCCGGGACTCACTGGCATCGGGACTCTGTGCAGACGCTCTTCTGCATTGGACCTTGAAGCAAAAGACAGATCTGATCTGGGCAGGAAGACTCCGAGGAATGGAGAAGAAAAGAGCTTTCCCTGACCGGGAATCGAACCCGGGCCGCGGCGGTGAAAGCGCCGAATCCTAGCCACTAGACCACCAGGGAACCGTACGGAAACGCCGCCTTGGCGGTCCAGGTGAAAATTGACAGTGGAAAGATGAAACCAGAGATGCAGAGAACAGGAAACGAAATGTCCCAGCGCCACTAATGGCTGTATGCAGCTGTGCAAGGCTCCCAGCCCTTGACCCGCTGCTCATCGCCCTTCAAATGCCCGTTCCTGGGCGACGCTTCTCGTTCTGAGACCAGGTCACAAACTTATCCGGTAGGGTCCCTCCTTCCTGGTCCCACTCTAGCGCTGTGTGCTGCCGAGCCCAGGTCATGCTCTCTTTGTGAACCTCGGTTTTCCCTCGAGTCAGGCGCTGACTTGGCTTTCAGCGGGTGATGAGCGGATCCGTCTACCTGCAGATCTCTGACCTGGCCTCGGGGCCTCTCCTGACGACCGCACGGGTACCGGTTCCTTTCCCTCCGCGACCGGCTGAGTTCGCGGAGCCTTATATTCTTCACGTCCATGTGTTTGGCTGGAGTCCACGGCGAGACCTGGGTGCTGTCTCTTTTCTTCTACCAGGGAGACAAAACTGTTCCTCAGGTGTTCCGAGGTGGGGGAACGCAAGTGAGCGTCACGGGAGTGAACTCCATGCTGTTCAGAGACAATCTGTGAACACGTGGAAGAGACCCAGGCGCCCGACAGGGAGCCGAGGGGGTTTCCGGACGGAAAGGTGACTCGAAGTCAGTCTTGTCCTTCCCCGCCCCGCCCCTCCCGGGGATGAACTGGGCCTGGACTCACAGGGACTCGGAGCAGAGAAAGGAGGGCTGCTTCCTAGTGCAGAGTAGACTTCCAGGTGGTCACCAACTCCTCCTACAGCTGCGTGGTCTGCTTCACCCCGAGCCTTTGGAACCTTTTGGTTTTGCCAATCAGAATGCACCTCTCGACGGGGGAGCGTAAGGGGGGGAAGAGCGGGGAGCGGGGTTGGAAGAAAATAAGCTGTCTGTTTCCGCCCGGTTTCGAACCGGGGACCTTTCGCGTGTGAGGCGAACGTGATAACCACTACACTACGGAAACAGGACACCCGGCATGGCCTACCACTGTATCCATGAAAAGCCGAGGTCCCGCCATCGGTATCTAGACCATCGATTTCTAACACTCTAACAGGAACCTTAAAGCCCCAAGCTTTCTCAGGCACGGACACGGCGGCTCCCGAGGGCCCTGCTTTAGGGTTCCTCATCTCCCCTCAAGTGAGGACCCTCGGGCCCCCACAGGCTGCCTTCGGGGTCCCGCACCCAACGCAGAGTCGTCAGACCCTCAGCTCCGCACCCCATCGCAGGGGTCGCCCCCCGCCGACTCCCCAGCTCCCGGAAGGCGCAGGAGGCGGGGACTGGGTGCGACCGAGGCCCAGGAGACCCCGCAGCCCAGCGGTGTGGACGCCGCCCCTCCCGCGCTGCGGACCCGCGCCTCGGCGGCCCTTTCCACGGCGCCGGCGGTCAGCGCTCCGGGCTCTCAGGAATGACCGCCGCTTCCAGTGCGCCCGGATCCCGCCCTCCCCGCTGCTCCTCTGCGCCTGATTCCTGTGCTCTTTCTCCGCAAGCCGGCTCGCCGCAGCACTTCTCCGGTGTCCCTTTGGCAAAAGGGAGTCTCTTTGGTGCTCTCTAAAAACCGCACCCCGCCGTCCCTGGGTGGGCTCGAACCACCAACCTTTCGGTTAACAGCCGAACGCGCTAACCGATTGCGCCACAGAGACAGCAGCACAGGCCTTTTCTGGACTCTCTATGGAGTAGACACTTACTCATGGCCAGGGAGAGTCCCCTGCACCCAGGATACGGGGCCACGGCCTTGCCCCTACCCGCCACAGATGCCAGCGCCCTCAGAGACACCGGGATCCAGGGCTCGGACCCTCCGGGCCTGAGCCGAATGAAATCCAAGGACAGCTGAACACCCGGTGGGCTCCCATGATGGCTCTTCCTGTGTCCTCGCCTACATCCAATGAATGAGAGTTTGCCCACCCTGGCAAAGGCCTCCGGGCCGAGGTTGTGCTTAGGTTCCCTGTGTCCACCAGGCGATTTCCACCAGGGCAGAGGTCGCGGGGATGGCCGCCCTGTGTCCGCACGCCCAGGACAGGGACTGGCACTCAGCGGGACGCTCTAGGACTTGGATGAATAGATTGTCGTCTTTAGCCCTTTGTCCCATCAAGACCCCTGAGAGCGGAAATACCGAAACGTTTTCCAAGAGCGAAAAGTTCGAAGGGAGGGGAAAGATGAGAGAGGAAGGCCAGGGAGGGGAGAATCATAGAATTTGTGCTTCCACCCGTCCCTGCTCCTTCTCTTGCCTTCCCTCTTCTTCTTCCTCTTCTTCCCAACCCTCCAACTGTGACATGTTGACAGGGCCACATCTGAGAAGAAAGACCCGACGAATCTGTGCTCAGGAGCACAAGCTCTGGGTTGTAAAAATGGTTCTGCCCTGGGTGGCCTTGAACAAATAAAGAAAACTTTGGGTGTCTCCCTACTTTCTTGTGCAAAATGGGAGCAATAGGAGCATTCTTCTTCATTCTGCTCTTGTCAGATGTGCCTGGGTTTAGAGACTACTGGATCAATAATGCTATAGGCAGCAAAATCATAAATACTATCATCACAATCCTCTGAATCTTTTGACAACCCCTGTCCTTGTTTATTTCCCCTGAAAGTAGCTTTCTGCCTCTGGAAATTTCTGTAAACGGCTTGCTCTTGCGGTTTGCTCGACTGTGGCCAGGCCACCCCCTTCATCGCCAGTTCTCTGCTTGCTAGACGGGGACCCAAGTGCAGGTTGGAGGAAATGGGAAGAGCACAGAGCGGTGGGGAAAACGGGCCTTTGTGCACCCTTTGGAGAGGCCTCTGGGACCGGTGGGGTCCTCCCGCTGCCTTCTTTGGTTTCAGGGGAGCTCCGAGAGGGCAGGGGTCTGGTGGCGGTCACTCTTGTGTCCCCTCGCCGAGAACAACTTGAGGGCCTCCTCACTCAGTCTCTCAGAGACCCTCAGAGCGTCCTGCCCAGAGAGCAAGGTACTGGTGCTTCCTGGCATGGTGGGAAATATTCCCGCATCTTCCTCCTAACCGTGGAACCCGGAGGTGGTGGAGGAACACTAGCGACAGAAGGAGAAGGTCCAGAAAGACAGGGTGGAATGGGAGGGGAAGGGGCTGCAAAGGGGGGATGAGGAGAAAGAGAGCCAGGAAGAAGGGGAGATGAGAGCGAGGTGGATGGAGCCCTACAAAGGGAGGCGGATAGAGTGGGAGGACCAGCGAGAGGGAAAGGGCAGTGGAGGGCAGCGGGGAGGAGGCGGAGTTACCTCCCCAGGGCAGTTCTCTTCACTGGCCCCCAGCACAGGCAGCTCCCACCACATACATCCCCACAGGCTCCTTGGCTCTCAGATCCAACACCCAGGCTTTCGTCCGTCACAGACGGTCTCTCCACCCGTTGCAGTTCTAACCTCATTTGGTTTTCCTCCCTGCCCCTTGTGAGCCTGGTCCTCTAGGTTTCCTGGCCATTCTGTGGTCTGTCAACATACTTTCTGTGTGTTTCTTCTCTTCCTGTATCAGCCAGAGACCATTACTGATCCTTGCACTCATAAACTTTGACTGACCTCCAAGGGCTCCTGGACGGGCACTTGGTGGTGTTTGTGACCCCTCAGCTTCTCGGTTTTCCAAAAGGAAGTTTCATCTTTTCATCCCGGGGCTGCGTGCGAACTTCCTCCTCCTAAGAGGCGCCTCCCCTTTGCCTCCTTCCTCCCGTGTCAACCTCTGTCCAGCCTCTGGGAACAAAATACGTGTCTCCAGGAAACACTGGCCACCTTTCCGACTCCTTTCTTTGGGCTGCAGCTCTCTTCTTCCGATGCTGTTTTTTTCAGGTCTGTGTACTGGATGAGGGAAGAAATGGCTTTGCGATAGAATGAAGAAGTAAAGATTATTACTTGGAGACATCATGTGGACTTATACTTATTATACATGTAAATAGTTAGTGTGGTGGTATTTTGTGTACATAAATACTGTCTACACTGTAAGACAACTTGGATACATACCTTCCAAATAGGTGTGCACTCTTCTTTGTTAAACTGTGCAGTTTCTGGATATGTTAAGCAATTGGAATGAAACTGACGTGACCAAGCTCTGACAAGAGTCTGTGACTGCCTACGTGTCAGAGCCCTGCCTCGTGGGCTCCACGACATGTGGTTGATCTTGAGCCGCCCCCAGGTGCTTTTGGCCTAGTTTGTCTGAGGGTTTTGTGTAAATGTTCATCTTTCCTTATACTGCAAACCTGACAAACTTGGGGAGAAACACCCCCCCCCCCCCCAATCAGAACTGTATGGAGAAGAAAAGGAGAGTTCTCCTGCCTCCATTCCCACTCCACACACTGTATATGTTACACATAAGAGGTGGTGGCGGTGGCTTTGGAGTGTAATCGGTGCTACAGGAAATCCAAGGGACCCAGGAGATCCCACCTCCTGCCCTGAGGATCATCTGCCCTCTCTGGGCTCTGGGGAAAGGGTGAAGGCAAAGGAAAGGAAAATAGCACTCTCATTTGCAGAAATTTTACCTCAGCATGGGACACGCTGGCAAACCGAGGCAGAATATGCGATTGATGACGGTGACTTAAGGGGGCCCTTCCCTGACCGGAAACCCGGAGTGGAAAGTTTACTTCCTTTTCTGAGGTGCGCTGTGAACTGAGAGATGTCAGTCAAAGGAGAGGAGCAGAGAGAAACCAGAGAGGGCTGAACACCAAAGCGGGTCATCCGTACTCAGATCTTGGGTCCTTGGAAGAACTGCCCTGAGATTATGGGTGGGACGTATGGAGCCTGAAGAAGCGGGTACCGTTCTCTGGCGATGGAAAGAAGTTGGCTTTTAAAGAGGTTCCATGGTGTAATGGTGAGCACTCTGGACTCTGAATCCAGCGATCCGAGTTCAAATCTCGGTGGGACCTTTCTGTTTAATTTCAAGAAGGACACGTTTTACTCCCCTCATAGGACCTGCTTTCCGGCTCCCGCGACCCCCAGCGGCGTGGCTCACACGGACACGGCGGACAGGTGTGGGGCCGAACGGGACCGGGGGCGTCCTCGCCGGGCCCGGACGGCTCTGGCCGTCGGAGGGCCGGCGCCTCCCCTGCCCTCCACCTCCCGGCCAGGGGCGCAGCGACGCCCCCTCGTCGGGTCCCCTGGGTCTCGGCGGGTAAAAGGCAGAGGCTGCGCCCACCGAGTCCTGCCCCTCGAGGGGGCTTCGCACCGCACACCTTGTAACCGCACGGTTGTCCCGGTGCGTAAATGGTGGCGGGGAGGGGCTGCGATGTCGCTGATCAGCCAGGATGGCAGCCTGGACCAGGACGGCAGGTCCAGGGTTCCAGACCTGACCGGGATGAACTATGCTTTATTCAGGTTCTCTATTATTCCGAATATTAATTGATCTTGTCCCAGTTTATTATGATTTTATTCAGAGTTTCTCGCTCCTAAGTCTCCGCTGGGCACGCAAAGCCGCTCTTCGGCCAAGGTTTGAACTTTGACTTCTGGAAATCGCGTCCTTTGGTCCCAAGCTCAGCCCGAAAGAGGAGCGCGGGCCGCGGATTCCGGCGTCTGAGGAGACCCCAGGTCCCTGGCCCACGGCCGCCAGGCCAGGCTGCTGCGGGGCCGAAGGGGAGATGGGCCGCTCGGAGTCCGCACCCCCGGCCGGGCCCCCTTCGTCCTGCCGAGACTCTGTTCCACCGAGAAGACACCCCACGACGTGAGCGTGGGGTGGACACCCCACTTGTGTCCTCCACTGCTCGGGAGAAAAATCTGGATGAGGCCCGTGATGGACTTGACAAAGCTAGTTAAAATGCTCCCTTCGCGGTGCTAAGGAGCATCTTTCTGACGCTTGTATTTTGGATCTTTCAGCGGTTACAAAGGACTCAATGACGCAGCTGTCTTTGGAGGACGGGAAAAGAAAGGGGTGGGGCCGGCGAAAAGATCCGAGGAAGGGCAAGGGCAGGAGAGAACAGAGGATGAGCCCGAGGGGAGAAAAGGACTGGAAGGGAGAGGAGCGGGCGGGTGCCGCGGTGGGGACGGCCGCTGGGTTGGGGCGACCACAGCGAGCGCCTCACTCTGGAGCAGTTCCCACTCTTTACTGACGTGTCCGGGAACCCGCTTCACCCTAAATTGCAAAGCTGCTGGCCTGGCATTTGTCCTGGCCAAGTTTCCTTCGCGGGTTCCGTCCGGAGCGGTGAGGTGGGCTCTGCCAGTCTGCAGGTGAGTGGAAGTCCTGGCGGCTGCCTTGGGGATGACTGGCGGGCAGGGAAACGCACACACTGCACTTTCCCCCTTTGCAGGCCGGTCTGCAGGGCCTGGGATGGGAAACTGGAAAATCCAGCGTCAATATTTATTTAGAGATAAGGAGATAAATAGCCAAACAGTTGGTTACCTGACCCGAGAGTGTTTATTCGTGGAAAAAAAGGAACGTGGGATCAGATCAGGGTCCACTTTCTCCCATAACAAGTTTTGGGGCATATGTAACTGACTATATATATATATATATATATATATATATATATATAATAGGTATATATATATAATAGGTACATATATTACTGCATCTAATGTATACATATATATTGTATGAGTAAAACTCACCGCTTGTGTGTCCAACTTAAATTTTTATGTAATTATATGTACCAAGCTTTAAAAATTCTGGGTCTAGTGTCATGTGTAGGAATGTTTTCCACTGTAAAAATGTAGGAAAAAAAAAAGAAGAAAGAAAAAGAAAAAATGAGGGGGGGGGGCATTCTCGAAGCAAGCAACTGGACCATTATTCCCCCTTTGATGGGCTGATCACACGAGCTAGTAAACAAACTGGCAGATCCTCTCAGCTTAGGAGGTCACTGCTTTCGTCTCTCTAGGAAGGTTCATAGTCAATGAAAAGTGTCAGCAGCAAATAAAATCACACCCAACCTTTATGCGGTGTTGCTCCCAAAATGCAAGAGCTTACACCCAATGAAGACACGCAAAGTGCCATGTGCCCAGGCATGGTCTACAAATTTTAAATGGGTTTACTCACTTAACCCTTTCAAAAGGCTGGTATCATGTCATCATCCTCATTTCACATATGAGAAACCTGAGACATAGAAAGGTTAAGTAACTTGTCAAGTCAGTCAGTGAGTGGGATCTGAAAGCAGGAATTTGAACGGAAGGCTTCCTGGCTCCACAGGATATCCTACCAGTCAAAGAGGAACACAAACCATAAAAATGCTTGACAAGAAATTTAAGTCCGTCTATTTCTTTTGAAAAATCACCCAAGAGGAGTCACGTAACAGGCATTCAGTTCAGTCGCTCAGTCGTGTCCAACACTTTGGGACCCCATGGGCTGCAGCACGCCAGGCTTCCCTGTCCATCACCAACTCCCGGAGCCTGCTCAAACTCAAGTCCATCCAGCCAGTGATGCCATCCAGCCATCTCATCCTCTGCCGTCCCCTTCCCTCCCGCCTTCGATCTTTCCCAGCGTCAGGGGCTTCTCCAGTGAGTCAGTTCTTCGCAACAGGTGGCCAAAGTATTGGAGCTTCAGCTTCAGCATCAGTCCTTCCAATGAATATTTGGGGCTGATTTCCTTTACGATGGACTGGTTGGGTCTCCTTGCAGTCCCAGGGACTCTCAAGAGTCTCCCCCAACACCACAGTTCAAAAGCTTCAATTCTTCGGCGCTCTGCTCTCTTTATGGTCCAACTCTCACGTCCATATGCGACTACTGGAAAAACCATAGCTTTGACTAGACAGACCTTTGTTGGCCAGTGCTGAGTTTTCCAAATTTGCCAGCATAATGAGTGCAGCACTTTCACAGCATCACCTTTTAGGATTTGAAACAGCTCAGCTGGAATTCCATCACCTCCACTAGCCTTGTTTGGAGTGATGCTCCCTAAGGCCCACTTGACTTCACGCTCCAGGATGTCCGGCTCTAGGTCAGAGATCACACCATTGTGGTTATGTGGGTCATGAAGATCTCTTTTGTATAGTTCTTCTGTGTATTCTTGCCACCTCTTCTTGATATCTTCTGCTTCTGTTAGGTCCATACCGTTTCTGTCCTTTATTGTGTCCATCTTTGCATGAAATGGTCCCTTCGTAGCTCTAATTTTCTTGAAGAGATCTCTAGTCTTTCCCATTCTATTGTTTTCCTCTATTTCTTTGCATTGTTCACTGAGGAAGGCTTTCTTATTATCTCTCCTTGCTATTCTTTGGAACTCTGCATTCAGATGGGTATATCTTTCCTTTTCTCGTTTGTCTTTTGCTTCCTTTCTTTTCTCAGCTATTTGTAAGGCCTCCTCAGACAGCCATTTTGTCTTTTTGCATTTCTTTTTCTTGGCAATGGTTTTGATCACTGCCTCCTGTACAGTGTTACGAACCTCCTCCCACAGTTCTTCAGGCACTCTGTCTAAATATATATATATGTAAGAAAATAAGCTGCCACCCGTAGTCCCAACCCCCAGAATTAACTACTGTTATTCTAAGTTTTGGCAAAACATATACATGCTTAGTTAATAACATTCAAATGATGAAGAAAACACAAATGTGTAAAATTTTGAGACATGTTAAATTAAAAAATAACTTCTGTTAAGGTAGTTAGATATTGATGGAGTCATTTCGGTATATCAACAGAGAGGAAAAAAAATATATCGCAGCTCAGTTGGTAAAGAATCTGCCTGCATGCAGGACACCCGGGTTTGATTCCTGGCTCTGGAAGATCCCCTGGGGAAGGAAATGGCAACCCTCTCCAGTATGTCTTGCCTGGAGAATCCCATGGACGGAGGAGCCTGGCAGGCTACAGTCCATGGGCTCACAAGAGTCGGACACGACGTAGTGACTAAACCACCACCATACTCTTATAAAATAGAGCTCTTATAGATTCTATTTTTATTTTTAAGCATTCAACTTAATAGTGCATAAACTTAATGGAAGAAAAATAAAGAAAAATGAAGAAGTTGTTGAACTTTCAATCAAATTGTTCACACGAGAGATGCTTTTCTGAAAGGATTCCCTAAGGCTAATAACAATAATAATAATAATTTAATGAAGACATCAAATTTTGGAATGATTCCTCTCGTTACTTTTAAAAATCAGATTTCTTAAGGTATAATTTGAAAATAATACAACACATCCATTTCAAGTTTGATGACTTCTGACAAACAAACGACCGTACCCACAGAACCACTATCCTGGTTCAAGGAAAAAGAATGTCTCCAGTACTCCAGACTGTCCTCTGTGCCCCTTTGCAGTCAATCCCCCTATCGCTCCCCGACCCAGGTGATCAGTGATCTAGTTCCTGTCTCTGTGGATCAGTTTCTCAGTTCTCGAAATTCACATAAAGGGAACCACAGAGCATGTACTTTTTTCCTCCCTCAGCACGATGCGTTTGAGAGTAATCCACGCTGTTGCCATGTATCAGGTATTTGTACCACTTTAGCGAGGAGGAGTAGTCCTTTGAATGAGTATGTCACAATCATACATTCATCTCACAATCATACATTCATCTCAGGATGGACATTTGAAATGTTTTCAATTTGGGGACTATTATGAACAAAGCTGCTATATAAGCAAGTCCCTTTTGTGGGCTCATCCTTTGTAAATTCCATTCACATTTTAAAAAATTCTTTAATACGGATTTACTTTGTGAATGGATGTTACATTCACAAAGACAATTTATTGAAGAGTTACAAGCTCATCTTTGATTGTTTCCTATCAGGACATGTGTACTATAAGCCACAGGTGTATTTTTGGTTATCCCATTTAATCTACACAACAACTTTATGAAGTACTTTATGATTATCACTTTCATATGACACTTGCAAAATTGGCCTAGCAAATGGGAGCCGGCCCAAGGCCAAAGCGGAAGGCCAGTGGTGGCAACAAGACTGAAAAGGAGGCCCCACCCCGCACCCGCCAGAAGCTGCGTTCCTAACCGCAGACCCACCCCCGACGTCTTCCTAATAACCTCGGTGTGTCTGACAGTCCTGGAAACCAATATTCAAGCCGGTCCTCGTCACGGTATTGCTTACTGATCGGCTTCTTTTGGTCAGAAACTCCTCCATCAGCGGTCCAGAGCGTAACAGCGTGGACAACCTTGAGGGTGAGGAAATCTGTTAAAAACTCCAAAAACCGGTTTTCTCATCAGTAAGCCACTAAAAATTAACCTTGGTCTTGTTGCAGATATTTCATTATTTGAGCAAGGAAATCTCCCGCTGTTGGGGAGACAGGGTAGGATGTTCTACTGTCACTTTCAATGACCTAGATCCTCGATCCGCATCCTGCGTGCTTTTCGGATAGTTTTCTTTGGCCCTACCCTCAAGCATCACCTCACTCCCGGCACCTCCTCGGATCTCAGAGGCTTCTTGGGGCTGAGAGTGCCGCCCCCGAGGCGGCCACGAGGGGGAGGACAGTCCTTCCCGCCATGGTCCTGCCTTTTCTGTTTGGCCCAGTGGCTTCTATTTGCCAGGAGGACTTTGTGAATCAGAAGGGAGCACAACACATCCTGAGAAAGGGGTTGGCAAACAGCCCACAAAACTCGGCCTGGGGTTTTCTTCCAAACTGTAGGTCAATGTTTTCAGATAGGAAGAAAAGGAAAACTACTTTTGACCGAAAGAAAACAAAACAAAACAAAAAAAACACGTTAGGTACGATTTCTACTGCCATTGAAGGATGCCATTTAAGGATGTTAAGGAGGTTGCCTAGTGTGTCAGACTACTTAAGCATTCAGGTGCACATTCGAGGCTGAAACAGGGGTACTGTTTTCTGACTGGGAAGGTAACAAGAGAAGGCCTAAAGAGAAAAGGCGGGGGTGAAGAGAGAACTGGATCCAGAAATACGAAGAGGCCGCTTGGGGTGGGAAGGGGGGAGTGGGATGGTATCTAAGCCGTGTCTCCAGCAATGACTAAGGCGTTTATTACACGCAAGGCAGCCGAGCACGCAAGAAATGAAGCCTCTGAAAGCAGGACACTGCTGGGAAAATGGCTAGTTGCAGCCTCTCACAACACAGGCAGACGAGAAGTTGGTCACGTGGCGCCGCCTGACTTCTCATCCGACTTCATGTGTTTGGCCCAGATACAAGGGCCGCTCTGGTTGTATCCTGCGCCCCACGCAAGCCTTCCCCCACGCAAGCCTTCCCCCACGCACAAACATTTCACCAAGAGCTCCAGCGAGCGTTCATGAGCGAGCCTGCCACGAAGTCGACAGTAAACGTACATCGGAAATCCGCACCCACGCTACTCCTAAGCAGGCTCCCGTTCCTACAAAGCTGGAAACAGGCGCGCGTTCCTCGACGGATGAAAAACGACCCTCGTACTTCTTCCTGAAACACCAACTGCGGCTGTTAGCAGAGTTCCCCTCCATGGCCCCACAGTCGGGTCCAAGATCTTAGATGAATAACTCTCATAGATTAGCAGCACCCAGACTCCCGCACCTTACGGGGGACTCGATCCGCCTCCCAAAACCAACAATATTTCCGGAGCGTTTCCTCCGTGGCTTTGTTTATAAAGCCGGCAAACCGGCTACACACAGCTAATCCTCTCACTCTCCAGTCCATTCTACTTTTCCACCGAGAAAAATCAGGGGAAAGCGCGAACGCAGTCCCCCACTACCACAAATTATGCAGTCGAGTTTCCCACATTTGGGGAAATCGCAGGGGTCAGCACATCCGGAGTGCAATGGATAAGCCTCGCCCTGGGAAAACCACCTTCGTGATCATGGTATCTCCCCTGCCAGGTAAGTATGAGTTGCCCGCCTGCCGCCCCACCTCAACCTCATACGCCCTCCACTTTTCACACATGCTCACTTTACTCCCCGCATCCCCGACCCTTCTTCGACCTTCCACACAGCGCATCCACGCACTTTCAAGCAAAAAGTCCTGGGTTCTCTCCCACGCCACGGGACACCATATGGTGTTTCAGCACCAGATCACGGACCAGCAGCCCCTGCGCTCAGATATCTACATACGACACGCCCCCATCCGTGACGTCAACGGGAACCCGCTCTGCCCTCCAGCCCACGCCCCGCCCTAGTCCCCGCCTCCGTCCCCCCACGCCTTCCGGCCCCGGCCAACCGGCCGGCGGGCGCCCTCTGGGGGAAGTGACGTCCGCCTCCCGCTCCTGTTCTCCCAGCCTCTACGTGTTGGGACCCGGCGCGCTCGGCTGCTGCCTGCCTGCCTTTTGTCCTGCCCAGCACCGGTCTGGCGGTCGGCTGAAGCCTGTGCACCTTTTTTTCAAATAACGGCGTTCCATGGGGAGAACAGAACATTTAGCAGTCCAGGGGAAACCGGTTCCTTTCAAATCCAGTTGTCTTTGATGCAGTATTGTGTGTGTGTGTCTAGTAAAACGCATTAAGTGTCGCGACTGGCCGTGAACTTCTATTCTTCAGAATTCAGTTTCACTCATTGAGAATTTCACTTACGTTTAGTTCACACCTTTTTTGTTAGCATTCCTAAAGACCTTAGTTTATTTAGTAATTGATGTCTCAGTATCTTATTTTTTTGAAACTACCTAGTTAATTAATTTACTTCCATCAGTTAAATCAGCACAACTCTAGGACTTTACCAAATATCTGGAAAGATCATTTGAAGTAGACATCTCTAAAATATAGTTTTTTTAAAGAGCTTACTCAAAGCTCTTAGCCCATTTACATTTACTTTAAGCTTTCATCATATCAAGTTATTTTCCTTGCAAAAGATATACTAAGGTCTTATTTATTAAACCTAGGTACAATAAAGTTCAAAATTGGGAAAGGAGTAAGTCAAGGCTGTAAAATATTGCCGCCCTGCTTATTTAACTTATGTGCAGGTACATCACGCAAAGTGCCAGGCTGGATGCCTCACAAGATGGAGTCAAGATTGCCCAGAGAAACTTCAACAACCTCAGATATGCAGATGATAGCACCCTCATGGCAGAAAGCAAAGAGGAACTAAAGAGCCTCCTGATGAGGATGAAAGAGGATAGTGACAAAACTGGCTTAAAACTCAGCTTTCAAAAAAAACTAAGATCGTGGCATCTGGTCCCATCACTTCATGGCAAATAGGTGGGGGAAAAGTGGAAACCGTGGCAGATTTTTTTTTCTTGTGCTCCAAAATCACTGCGGACGGTGACTGAGAGCCAGAAGAATCGACGGTTTCGATTTGTGGGTGCTGGGTAAGACTCTCGAGAGTCCTTTGGACAGCAAGGAAATCCAACCAGACAATCCTAAGGGAAATCAACCCTGAGATTAACAAAAATATGCAGATGACATTACCCTTATGGCAGAAAGCGAAGAAGAACTGAAGAGCAGCTTGACGAAAGTGAAAGAGGAGAGTGAAAAAAGTTGGCTTAAAACTCAACATTCAGAAAACGAAGATCATGGCATCTGGTCCCATCACTTCACGGCAAATAGAGGGGAAACAGTGGAAACAGTGACAGACTTTATTTTGCGGGGGCTCCAAAATCACTGCAGATCGTGACTGCAGCCATTGAAATTAAAAGACGCTTGCTCCTTGGAAGAAAAGCTATGAGCAACCTAGACAGCACGTTAAAAAGCGGAGACATTACTTTGTCACAAAGGTCCGTCTGAAAAAAAAACAAAAACAAAAACAAAGGTCCGTCTAGTCAAAGCTAAGGTTTTTCCAGTAGTGGTGTATGCGTGTGAGAGTTGGACTATAAAGGAAGCTGGGCTCCAAAGAATTGATGCTTTTGAACTGTGGTGTTGGAGGAGACTCTTGAGAGTCCCTTGGACTGCAAGGAGTTCCAGCCAGTCCATCCTATAGCAAATCAGTCCTGGGTGTTCATTGGAAGGACTGATGCTGAAGCTGAAACTCTAGTATTTTGGCCACCTGATACGAAGAGCTGGCTCATTTGAAAGACCCTGGTATCAGGAAAGATTGCGGGCAGGAGGAGAAGTGGGCAACAGAGAATGAGATGGTTGGATGGCATCACCGACTGAATGGATGAGTTTGGGGAAACTCCCGGAGTTGCTGATGGACAGGGAGGCCTGGCATGCTGTGGTTCATGGGGTCGCAAAGAGGTGGACCCGACTGAGCGACTGAACTGAACTGAACTGACACAACATTGAATTTTAATTATAGCACGCATCCCTTCTTGGGCGGCTGTAAGCACGTCTAAAGCCATCTGATTTTGAATCGCTGCCTTTCTCATTTGTATTTGTTCTTCATTTAAAGTTTAAATTGCCTTTGCGTTGTCCAGGAGGGCCTGTTTCGTGAAGTCAGTTAGAACTTTTATTTTAATCTCACAGACTTTGCCCGTCCTGCATGTAAATAAGGGAAATTTCCTGGGGCTTGTTGTAAGGATGGCTTAACACTTCCATGAGCAAAGGCAAATCCTAATAGGCTTGTGTGCAGATGCAAGCTCCCAATGTGCCAAGAATAGCCAAAAATAACCCGTCTCCCAAGGAGACTATGCCTCCCGGAATACAATTATAGGGGACCACTCCATTTAAACATCTAGAAGTAGAATTCACTAAGGTAAATCCATGTCAAGGATACAGATATTTGCTGATGATGGTATGTACTTTTATGGGATGGGTAGAAGCTTACCCCACCAAGACTGAAAAAGCGAATGAAGTGGCCCGATTCTTGCTGAGAGGCATTATTCCTAGGTTTGGGTTTCCACTGAGTATAGAATCAGATAATGAGCCCGCATTTGTGGCTGAATTACTCCAAGTGGTCTGCAAAGCAGTAAATACTAAATGGAAATTATATACAGCGTAAGGGCCACAAAGCTCAAAAATGGTTGAGAGAACGAACCGGACCATCAAGGTGATTTTGACAAAATGGGTGCAAGAAACTGGCACCTCCCTGGATGGACTTGTTGCCATTAGTGTTAAAGAGGATCAGAATGACCCCCCCCCCCGCAGGTTGCACAGATATTCCCCCTATGAGATAATGTTCGGGAGGCCTCCCCTACTTATTTGGGAAGTAAAGGGAAATTTATTACAAAGGGGAGGGACGGAGGTGTTGCGGTAACTGGAACAGTTGGGGAAGGTATTCCATGACATCACCCCTTATGTTCAAAAAGAAAGAATTCTCTTTTCTTTAGGTACTAGCGAAACCCATACTCACCAGGAGAGTTAGTATGGGTAAAGGATGGGAAACGGCAGACATTATCCCCCACCTGAAAAGGGCCATACACTACTGTACTAACCGCTCCCACTGCAGTTCAATTGCAGGTATTACTCCCTAGATTCACCACTCCCGGCTCAAGACAGCAGCAGAGGGAAAGGGAGCTTCCTTCCTAACCCGAGGAACCACTGAAGACCCGTTTCATTTTTCATCGGCGGCCACAGATTCAGGATGAGCTGCTGTGTATAATTCTGCTGTTCCTGATTGGCATGATGACCCTGCCAGGACTGCAAACTCAGGATAATGTGTTCTGCCAGGGTCCAGCCTCAGCAGGATCCAGGGGTACCCTCAGGATGAACGGCGTCGGCGAGAGAGAGAGAGAGAGAGAGAGAGAGAGAGAGAGAGAGAGAGGGAGAGACAGACAGACAGACAGACAGACCAGATTGGGGGTATGCAGCAGGGTCTGGCGGTGCTTTATTTTTTACCGTAGCTTTTATACCCTAAGTTAGTACATTTCTAAGGGGAAGATAGTTTAACATTACATCAGCTTGTCCTTCACGAAACCAGGGTGTTTTCTGCATACTTCTTTGTTTATGAGAGTCTTGTACATTATCTTCTGGTCTTGGGGCCTATTGACATTTTATGACCTAGGTGAATGCAAAGCTGTTTTCTATAATCAAGTCTTTATTGAACACAAAGGTCAGTTCTTTTGCAGAAGTTATCAGTTAAATTTATCTAAAAGGTTTACCACACAAAGACTTTGCAGCTCCGGTGAGACAGCCCCTGTTTAGCATTCCTGGTTAAAATTAACAACTCTAAACTCTTATTTTTCTAAATCGTTAACTATAACCACTTATAGAATAATATTTTTGTGTTCTCTAATAGGGTTTCACACCCCCTGAAGGGCTCTGTGCCTATTAGGGCCTTTTGTGTGATCAGGTTCTTTATGCTGTTTATGATTAAGGTGTTGTGAGCAGTCATGTGCATTTGCCAAGCAGGCTAGAATGCCAGCAAAGGGGTCTAATTTGAAACACTCCTTTCATCCTGGATAATCTTATAGGATACCACAATCCGGGGGACATATTGATTAAAGTTCTAAGTTGATTCTGTTTGGAGAGAGAGCGGGGAAGGCCTTCGACCTGTGTCACA